ATTTTCACAACAAATTAAGGCTTAAATACTGAGAGCTTTCTTGAATAGCATTCCATTTTGAAAAGAATACATCAGGTGCATCTTTCTAGTGCAATTAGATAAAAATATATTTTTTTCAAATTTTTGAAAAATATGAAGGCTATAGCCTTTGAGTTTTTCACGAAAATACGAATTTTTCAAAACACGACAAAATGTGCGGAATTTAAAGCAAAATTGATTGTGATCGATCCGATTCTCTTTACTTCTTACAAAAACTAAAGAATGAAGAATTACAACTTTAATTAAAAATGTGAAATTGCTTCGAAAGCAACAAAAAGGAAATTTCACTTATCCAACATAAAAACAAGATTAAAGTTGGACTAAATTTCGAAAATATATGTAACAACCTTATAGATTTAGGAACTTTGGATGATAATTCGTCTTTTTGAAGCGCGTGTATTAACTTATTTCTCTTGAGAAACATAGAAAAAATTGAAGAGAGCCGGAATTTTCACAACAAATTAAGGCTTAAATATTGAGAGCTTTCTTGAATAGCATTCCATTTTGAAAAGTATACATCAGGTGCATGTTTCTAATGCAATTAGATAAAAATAAAATTTTTTGAAAATTTTGAAAAATATGAAGTATTTGAAGTTTTCACGAAATCACGAATTTTTCAAAACACGAGAAAATGTGCAGAATTTAAAGCAAAATTGATTGTGATCTATCCGATTCTATTTATTTCTTACCAAAACTAAAGAATTAAAAATTACAACTTTAATGAAAAGTGTGAAATCGCTTGGTAATTTGAACTTCACCCTATAAATAAAGATTTCAATAACTCCAGTACTGTTCCAGCTGTGTTTCATCATTTAGATATGCAACACTAAAATCTATGACCATTGAAAGTTTATTGGAACGTCGTTAGCATTGATTGCATAAACGTGTGGATTCATTATTCAATCAGCTTTACTTGGAAAGCTATGACCAATTTTTGAAGGTTCTTACTTTAAGAAGAGTATTTCTGAAGTCAGTACAAACCTTGAGTTTGTCCTTTTGCTATTAACGTATTAAATCCACTGTTCTTCAGCACTTCCATCAGTTCATATCGAAATGAGGAAATGTCTTGTTTAATCTCATTCACGTCATCTTCGGTGACGCCTTGGTTATCAGTATATCTTTGTTCTTTGGTTACATAACGACGAACCAGGCTTCTCATGATGGTCTTTAAAATGTCCAAAGAGGAAAGCAAAGAGATTGAAAACTTGTATGTGAGTAATATAATAATCAAGAGAACCGTGAATCTATTCATTAGAACAAAACACTTGATAGTCTTTTCTTGAAAGTAAATGAAAGACGAATCACAATTTAGAATTAAATCTATTTTCACTAAACAATGTTTAAAAATTACGAACAAAAGAAAATAATATATATTTCTATAAAATATTTCTATTTACACAAAAAACTTCTTCATGCTATAATCGATATGAAACCAGAGAAAACGAACATCAGACAACATGAATGATAAACATTCAAAGTGTTTTGACATGTGTTTAGTTCATGCAAGATGACGTTATCTTTTCATTGTTTCATATTAATTAATCTTTTGTACTGGATTTATATAAGGTTTAAAAAAAATTATACCTTTTATTGGTACTAATTAAGCTATTCACTATGCACATTTCCTGGAATAACCTTTTAAAAATCAATAAAAACCAAACTGTAAAGTATTTTGGGGAAGAAGCTGGTATGCACGTATTTGAAGATAGTGGAGGGTTGGGGGAGGGGAAAATGATGTTTAAAGAGTAGTGAGCTGGTGTGAGTTATACTTGTGATATAATTACAGAGCCACTAAACCCATATGTATTTTTCTTGCAAATACAAAGAGATTTGGATAGGCTTTTACCAGCAGTAGAATATTTAATTATTATTATATATTTATTTTTTGCCGGTATTCATATCACCTTTGTTTTTCTTACCGATAAACATACCGGCGTATACCACCCCACGTAATCCACTGACTATGAAAGAAATGTCTCTAAAAAAGCATTTACTTGTTTTCTTCTCTAGTTTAGGAAGGCTAGAATACAGTGTTCTTTTTTATTGTAAAAGTTTGTTGTTATCAAAGCTATATTGTATACCAGACTAGTTAATTTCACATTTATAAAAGTCACCGTGCTTATTGAATCAATTATTTAATAATAGGCCTACGTTTAAATTCTAAACTTACCGTAGATGTATAGACCAAAGTTACCATCCTAAGTTAATAGTGGAAGTATATATCAGAGTTTCCATCCTAAGATAATAGCAGGTGAATAAACCAAAGTTACTCTCCTAAATTAATAGCAGATGTATTGACCAAATTCACCATCCTAAGTTAACAGCATGTGTAGATACTAAAGTTACCATCCTAAGTTAGCTATTAGATTTATAGACCAAAGTTACCATCCTAGATTAATAGTAGATGTATAGACCATAGATTCTATCCCAAGTCAATACCAGATTTTTAGACCAAAGTAACCATCCTAAGTTAATAGCAGATGTATAGATTAAAGTTTCCCTCCTCGGTTAATAGTAAATGTATAAACCAAAGTTTCCATTCTAAGTTAATAAATATGTATAGACTGAAAGTTTCTTCTTATGTTAACAGCAAATTTATAAAACGTTATATTAATTAGGTGGCTTAATTTAAAATTGTGCAGAATTATTAAATATTTCTCTAGATTAATGTTTAAAAGTATACATTATAAGTATTGTTATATCAACCCATCTCGTACGGCCCCTCTCTCTCTTTCACCTCTTCAAGTGTACACAGTAAAATGTTACGAACTGTTATAATTCAAAGGTTTTAATATTAAGAGTATTGGATTTTCACGACTGTTTCCGTTTAAGTATAGCGTGATTGTTAAAGTAAGTTATTTTTAGAAGTGATAGTTTATCGCAGGTTTGTTTACGTAACTGTGTACACATCAAACATTGTGTAATTAAATTGTTGTGAATTGGCGCTTGTTGTATTATTGCGTCATATTAGTAGAACCTTCTAAGTTTTTAATCGTTGTTTTGATTGAGTATTATTGCATCATAATATCTCGTAGTGTGTGTCTGTCAGGCTATAAATACGCGTCCAAAATGTAATTCGAGTTAATTAGTAGGTTAGATAGATCACTGTGTGATTGTGAATTTTGCTATAAATAGCATATAGTGGCGATTTTTAAGTGAAATTATCACAGATTGTATTGTAATAACAGAGAAAGAATAATAATTCATCCTGCCTATTGTGTTCTAAAGTAACTTAACCAGCCTGTGTGGAATTTGACGAAAAAGAGACAATCATTTCAAGCTCTGGATACAACTGTGATAACAAACAGTGTAATGAACATTTGTAAATATATTTGACTTGTTTTAATATATTATTTTAAAACAAGTGGTCTATATGCTGTTTGTTTATTGGGTTATCGCCAACAAGTCACAGACACCTACTGTAAAGAATCCGGCCCATACGCAAAACCTAACAAATAGCATACATTTACCAATCAATTACACCTCCATAGGTCAACGTACTTTGTTACACACTAAACATAAAATAATGTTTTAAAATTACAAAATTCGGAAATTTCCTCATAAAATCTACACTATATGCAAACACGTGATGGTAAAATACTATCAACATCACATTTCAACAACAACAAAAAGTTACAAAAATAATTCGTGTTTAAGGTGCATTTTGCAAACTAAGGGCACGTACCTGATAACGAAAATCCCTTTCGGTTGCTTTTTTAGCCTTTTTCTATGAGCAAATATATAGAAAAATAACACATTACTTGCAAATGTGAACCTATACAACAAATTATAACCCAGAAAATTAACAAAATGAATCTAAGTAACATGAAATAAATAACGACGGCTAAGATGAGAAAGAAAGTGTGAGATAAATTACTTGTAAAGTTGTTATGAGGTTGCTCAAACGATCACCCAAATTTCTTAATTCTGGCTAAATCCATAGCGAAATAAGGTATCGAGATTATAACAATCAACCCTCCAGACATTATAGCCAAGAGCTTGTAACAGACACATAAATATACAGTCAAATGATTAGATTACGTTACTGTATATGAGCTATTGTAACTTATAATTAACACCTGCTACTCGAGCCAGCCTAGCATCATTTAGTACTGAGCCTAGGACGGTCAAGAGAAGGTGGGGGGAGGGGAAGGTCATTCCGGAAACCGGTGATTTAGGGCCATTTCGATAGATCTCGATGAATGAAGCTTGGCACAACTTCTAAAACGGAAAGAACACTAAGTGTAAACGAAAATATGACATGATGAAATCTATATGGATTACACTATGGTGGTACTATACTAGGCATTATACTGTCCCTCTTATATTTACCCTTCATTGCAGAAATGACATTTGTAATTTGAGAATCGCTAGGGAAGTCATCTTCAACTCCAACACTGTATCTTTGGGGTTTACCTTATCATAAAATATTGAAATTAATGATTTCTTATACATGATTCCAATCCCCATTTCTGAAAACAACGATGCTATTGTGCCAGTTTTTTATGTTTCAATGTCAATCCAGTAATCAATTGACGAATCTCTGATTCTGCTGGTATGTTAAAACGATTGGGATAGCTTTGAATAAGTTCTTCCCTCATCCAACCTGACCCACGATTTAGCTTCATCCTTACATTTAAACCATCACATTCACAACCACATCTAGAACATTTCAAGCATGTTTCATTGCTTCATCGTTTTACTTGACATTTACAAGTTAACTTCTCCAGGTTGGCTCTCATGGTCTCGGGTCAGGTCGAGTCAAGCCATGTGTCTGGTCCAACGACCTAGACCTCGAAAGTAGTGCCAAACGTCCTATTTTTTGTCTAATCAAAATAACCCAAACCTTTCCGGAATGGCTTTCTTTTTCTTATTTTTTGATCCACGTCAAGATGTCGGAATGGCTCGTGTGGCAAGTGTTAAAACAAAATTTCAATCACTCACGTCATAAAGGTGTTGCTCCCAGTGGCACAGCGATATGTCTGTAGACTTATAACGCTAGAAACCGGGTTTCAATACCCGTGGTGGGCAGAGCACAGATAGCCCATTGTGTAGCTTTGTGCTTAATACAGGTGTCTATGCAATCACATGGTCATCGTATGTTTTAATCTTTTATCCAAAGACACTAATATGTAATATATATGCTCAGTTATATGTAATGGATTCAGGAGCAATATATATAGTGTTCCTGGGAAAGGAAATTATATATTTTTTATGTATTTCTTTTGTGTATTTCCAGTTTCATGCGGAATAGTTTTGGCTTCTATTGGTTTTTCCATCATTTCCCGCTAGTCTCTAATAATTTGTAAATAATATGTATACGATAACATATATTATCTATATAGGAATGAATCTAGCTAATGTTATTTATGTAAGACTAACTGATAACTTACCTCCACTTAAATTCTTCGGGTCATTTTTACTATTCCTAATTACAATTAGTTTCTTACATTTGTATATAATGTATTCAAAGACTTGTCAACCATTTATAGTATTCATAATTTTTCCATTGATTGTTTTTTTTATTTGCACTTTCAGAATCCCTATGTTTTAAAAAACATTTGTATAAAACATGCCATTTTTTTAACAGCTACTCTTAAATATACGAATAACATTCAGATAGATTAATCTTTAATTATATAGAGATATCTTAATGCTCTTTAGAGAAATATGTGTATTCAATTTTTCACATTTAAAAATTGAGAGAGCAAAATTATTTATTTTAAAAGCGAACTACAAACTTCTATCTAAAGATAGAAACAACATATATCACAAGTATCTATGTTTATCAGTCAAAAATGTAAAAAAAAGGAAGTTTCAAAATGTTTTTAGAGAATATTCAGCATTCTGAACTGAAGTCCCCCGGTCGGACTGTGGACTTGCAGCGCGAAAATCCGGGGTTTGATTCCTCGCAGTGGACACAGCAGATAGCCCGATGTGGCTTTGCTACAAAACAAACCCATGCGGAACTGAAAGTTAATTAATATCATAAAAAACAACAACATATAAGCTTTGATTGGCTAGTTGGTTGGTTAGATGGTTAGTTGTAATTAAGCGCAAAGCTACACAATAGACTACCTGTACTCTGCACACCACGGGTATCGAAACTCGGTTTCTAGCGTTGTAAGTCCACAGACATACCGACGTGCCACTGGGGGGCTTTAAACCATAATTTGCTGTGAATATTCCGCCTATCTTCAATTTTATTATGCTCCTCAAAAAAAGAAAGATAATTCAAGTGTTTGAAAAAGAGTTTGTTTTTAATTTCGCGCAAAGCTACACGAGAGCTACCTGCGCTAGCCGTCCCTAATTTAGCAGTGTAAGACTAGAGGGAAGGCAGCTAGTCATCACCACCCACCGCCAACTCTTGGGCTACTCTTTTACCAACGAATAATGGGATTGGCTGTAACATTATAACGCCCCACGGCTGAAAGGGCGCGCATGTTTGGTGGAACGAGGATTCGAACCCGCGACCCTCAAATTGCGAGTCGAGCGCCCTAACCAGGCCATACCATAGAGGTTCATTACTTTCTTATCACAAGAATAACTTGTACTTATATATATATATATATATATATATGTGTGTGTGTGTGTGTGTATGAATCATTATACACTGTCCCCCAGTGGCTAAGCGGTAAGCTTGAGGGCTTACAACGTTAACATTCGCGGTTTGATATCTACGATCGGCATAATTTACAATGCATATTCAAAATATATTAAACTCTTTTTTGCTTTTTCCAAAAATATTTGTTAAGCTTAGGTAAATTAAATTGCAATAAAAAAAGCAACTATAAATAGCACCCGTCTTTAACAAGCGTTGATATTCAAATAAACTTACTAGATTTGTTTTATTGTCTTTCTTTGTTAGCTCTGAATATCCACACAGCTTTCTGACTATCCAGCAAAGAAGGTAATAAACACTTTTGGGAGTGGGGATGATGTTGAAAGGAGGGGGAACGGTGCCGCCATCTTCGAAGTAACTCATCCACAACTTACTTCTTGCAAACTTCCATTCAGTGTCTGTATGCTCCTTTAAAGGACATATAAAACGATCAAGTTCAATGAGTTCTTTGTATTGGATATTCAAAAAAAAGTGAACTGATGAGTGTTTGTGCTGAGGGCCAATTCTGATACAAAAACTAATAAACATGGCCGAATTTTTATCGAAAAGCAATGAAAACTTGGACTGCGACCGGAAGCACTGGGGGTGTGGGGGTGAGGTGGGAGTAATTTTATACTACTTGGAACAAATACTACAGCAAAACATATTCATCGACGAATGTCGTTACACATTCAGTGCATGACTAATGTCCCCTGATTTTCAGTCTTACACGTAGCCCGTACAGGAACTGTAAAAGTATTTCACACAGTTGTAGTTACGTAACACCAGAGACTTGAGGACGAGGTTAGTCAATAGCGGCTTCTTTTCATGAGCTGAAAGCCACATAAAATCTCAAATATTACCTAGTAAAAACTTGAAACGTTTTGTTGCTTCTTCTGTCAGTCTCTATAAAACGCTGGTTCAAGTTGTGAATATGTAAATTTTGAAAGCAAATCCTGCCAGAGTTAAAATAAGATAGATGTTACTCAGTATTGAAGTTTTGAGGATATGTGACGTATTGATTGATAGTTGATAATACGTGGTGTCACAGTATTCTAGTTTGACTCTAAGAAGCTCATTTCTGCTATTTTCCCGTAAAGTTATAATTTAGTTATATAGCCAAATAATGAAAAGTCCGATTTCGTAAGGGTGCCGTTTATTTATTACAAAAAGCAATAATTTGGCTATAAGAAAACGAAAAGCTACGTCTTGTTTCATATCTGTTTATATCCTATCCAGTTTTATTTTCCTTTTGAAAAAATGAATCTTGAATTTGAATATGGAGCATAGAAATTTCAAAATAAAAGTTAAAATATTACATATCATGTACCTGTTAAATACCATACTTTTTACCAGCTATAAACTAAACAAGAACCGTTTTTCTTTCTAGTTGTTCTTCTTTATTATTTACTCCAATATTTTAGGTTCATGTTTGGGATTTTAATAAAAGTAGAACAAAACGTTTAAGAGTTTTATACCTATTAACAGTATATTTATAATTCATCCAGTTATTTCACTTCCATTTCTGGTCACACAGTAAAGATCAACTTTATTTGAAATCAAATGCAATAACATATTATATATATATTGCTTTGGACCTGCCTTGTACTATTCTCTCAACCCTCAAACTACATATTTAATTTAAACTGTTCATTAGCAGATCACCTCTCGGTGGCTTAACGGTATGTCTGGGGTTTATAACCGGGTTTCGATACCCACAGTGGGTAGATCACAGAGAGCCCATTTTGTAGTTTTGCGCTTAACAACAAACAAATAAGTAAAACCGGATGGGTCTACATATTGCATGATCTTCAGTATTTTTGTTTACCTGTGACTTTGTTTGTTTCTTAGTTTTAGTGAATCGAACCCAGTATTTTTGTTTACCTGTGACTTTGTTTGTTTCTTAGTTTTAGTGCAAAGCCACATTGAGCTATCTGCTGTGTTCACAGCGAGGAATCGAACCCAGTATTTTAGCGTTGTGAATCCGTAAACTTACCGCTGTCTCATCGGTGGACTTCACCTGTTACAATTGCACAGAAATGGCCAAACAACTTTGGTGAAATCATTCATTTCTTATGTTAAAAAACATAGAGAACACCTAGCTGTAATTAATGGGATTAGTTGTAATGCTGGTGGCTCAAAAGTAAGCTGGAGGGCTTATAGCGCTAATAATACATGGGGGCTGATCCATGCAGTGGGCATAAAGCAGTCATATAACCTGCTGTGCAGCTTTGCGCTTAAACAAATAAAACAGAAATTAACTGCAATGTATTTTTAGTAGTTTTTTTTTGTATGACTCGTATGCTTTCATGGACTGTTGTAACAACAAAGTCATGGACTCACAAGCAATTTGGTGCAAAAAACGTTAGAAAAATATGTTCAAAAATGTGTGGGGTTTAATTTTTATTCTTAATTTTAGGGTTAAACAAAATATTGTTTTTAATCATACCATTATTTGCTGTAAATAGCATATCATACAATATTTAAAATCTCAGAATTATTTAATATTACAGAAACCTCGTTAAGCTTTTAATCAGTTTGTCGTTTGCTTAATATATTAATTTCTGTTTGTTTTTAGCGCAAAGATTCACAATGGGCTAGCTGTGTCGTGATAACCGAAGGATCGAACCTAGAACTTTAGCGCTTTAAGCTTCCGAGCTTACTGCTGAGCCACAGGTGGCGTTTAAATTATCCTAGGGATAAGAAACTTTTCACGATTACACCTTTGTATATGTATCTAAAAGTTTTCGATATTGATTTGGTCAAAAAAATGTATGTTATCATAATTATCTTTTATTTTTATTTTCAATTGAAAAACAAACAAAAAATGCATCTCGGGATATTTATAAGTCTTGATGAATGGTTTACAGGGGTTTATTTATTTATTTCTTTTTTTTTAAACTATCAAAGAAATGTGTAAGATATCACACTTAAATACATTAGATGTCGGTATAGTAAAAAGACAACAGGAAACTTACTACTTAGAAACAATAGTTAAAAGATGTATTTTCGTCAAAATACTCATGAAAAACTACTAAGAAAAAAGTTTTGAATATATATGTATATCAACAAAGTGAAATATATGCTTGCTGTCGTCGATTTTAAGCTGTCATCAGTGTGAAAAATAGTCATTTATCCATTGGCATAAGTGTGATATATATTACGTTGTCGCTGAAATATGATAATAATACAAATAACATAAATGTCAACGGGTTTAGTTTCTTAATTTCATGCGTCAGCTGAAATGAGTGAACTAGGTTATATTGACCAGTTTGATAATAATGTTACGCGCCAAATTATATCAAAGGGCTAATTGTGTCACGTGCCAAGAACATCTCGTCGTTTTGATGACACACGTTGATGAATATTGGTGTGGTAACAGTATTTGAATTTAATTTATATCAACATGGAACTACGTTTATTTATCTGATATTAATGTGGTCGAAATAACACACGTATCGTTTTTCCACTGTAGCACTTGGTGATCCTACAAAATATATTCCATTGATTTCTCATGGGAAGAATATAATACACTAACATTTTTTGACTAACCATATTTCATGGTTGCTGGAAGACATGTGGAAGCTTAAACCTGACATTATTACGACCTAAGTACTCTAACAGACATTGTTACTAACAACGTGTTCTAACTGACATTGTTACAAGCCAAGTGTTCTAATGGACATTATCACATGGACCCTGTTGTAACTGACATTGTTACAAGCCAAGTGTTCTAATGGACATTATCACATGGACCCTGTTGTAACTGACATTGTTACAAGCCAAGTGTTCTAATGGACATTATCACATGGACCCTGTTGTAACTGACATTGTTACAATCCAAGTGTTCTAATGGACATTATCACATGGACCCTGTGGTAACTGACACTGTTACAAGCCAAGTGTTCTAATGGACATTATCACATGGACCCTGTTGTAACTGACATCGTTACAATCCAAGTGTTCTAATTGACATTATCACATGGACCCTGTGGTAACTGACATTATCACAAGTCAAGTGTTCTATTTCAGTTTGTGTCGTTAGTGTATTATATTCTTCCCATAAAAAATCACTGGAGTATCTATCGTTGAATCACCCTGTAGAATCATCAGATTGCAATCAAATGTTACTACGTACGTATGATAATAATGGAAAGTTGAAAATAAATACGAAAAAGGTTTTGAACTACAACCTACCGAAATCATCTGATAAGAATGATTCATCATGGCAATGAGCAGGTTCAAGAGGACCACGATATTGATAACGGAATAGCTTCCAAACATCAACATGCCCCAAAAGCGGGTGTAACTTTTAATATTCGTCAACTCGAAGCTGTCCAGGTCTATCAAACCAAAGCTTGCCCAAAACAGTGTCTGTGACGACTCGAACACGCTGTGAAGAAGATAGGGTATCGATATTACGTCAAGCGTGTAAGTTCCAGTGCCTATGCAGAAGTTAATAGCTCGAAAGCGGAAATAATAATAATAAATATGAACGTTGCTTCAGAGGAAAATATGGACTATCATGAAATGTACGAACATGAAAAAAAAGTTAAACGAGTAGAAAATATGCTAATAAATTCACACATTTTGAATGGCTTGGCTACAGTTTAACATATTAATGTGATTAAATAGCTGATGCTACAAATATTCAGCCAAATACTATTGCTAGATATGCTGTCTTAACACTTAACAAAGCGCCATCACGTGTTGTATCATTCATTTGAAATGTTATTAGAAAATATACTTTGTATGAATAAACAATTCGCTTCTTCCCTTCATAGTTTTGAAAGTTAGATTTTCAACTGAAAATTTCCACAGTCAAACAAGAGCAATAGTGATAGAATAAATACAACGATTTAATCTTCACTAAAAAGGCGTTTATTTGCCAACATTTAGGTTTACACCTGTTTTGCTAGGAGGAACGATTAGCAAACAACGTGCACAGTACAACTGTTTACAAGCCTTTTCAAAAAAAATTAATTGTGTATAGATTTCAGTATTCATCGCATTGTTCTAACTTATTACAAAATACCAAATTCAAAATACACGTAAATACTTACATAATTTAAGGTAGTTAAATATAGTCGACACTGACACCATTCCATTTAATAGCTGGCGCCATCTAGTGGCCAAAATAATACATCCATAAATAAAATCACTGGTTCTGTGAATACTTGCCTCTCAAATACAAGTAAAAGGCACTTAAGCTATTTCTTCCAAATAGCGAACGATCTATGTAAAGATACCGACATTTCTTTTATCTGTTTTTCTATAACACTTATTAAAACATAAAGACGTATTTGTTTTGGTATAACACCCACTAAAACACAAAGACGTATAGACTCGATCCACAAACTTTAAACTACTGAAATTAGGTGCTGCATCGGTGAAACAAAACAACACCTTTTCACGTTTTTAATGCAATTACATACCAATATAAAAGAACAAAACTAAGACAAAATAAAACATTATTTATAATTTTATCGATGAGATAAGAAATTCTGAGAACATAATATGTTAATCACACTACATCTGCCGTAGCCAGTGCCGACGAGACCTTTCGTTCAATACCAAACCAACTTTAAGAAAAAATACAGCAGGATTAGATCCTATAGCTACAGCAAAAAATTCCTTCCTGTTCGCTCAGCGTATTGACGAAACACGCAAACTTATCTAAAAAAACTCCAGAAATTAACTGAAATAAGTAAGAATGAAAGTGATAATTTCTTTTAGACACAGTGTTTCCCTTGAGGGATGGGGGGGGCGAAATTATTTCGTTATTAGCGAGCAAAATTCCCTAAAGACCCATCAGATTGTGACAGACGAAACTGGATTAACCGCGTCCTCCATAGCGTATTCCCACGAGGCGGGTGAAACTACAAAGCCGTGAGTAAGTAGAAACGCACCTAATGATAAAAGCACAACAAACCAAAAACTAAAACATAAGCTACTAAAGATACTTACTTGGCAAATCTTCTCCATTTCTGACAGGCAGACACGTCTCTCTGGGCTTGACAAGTTTGTTTCTCCAGATCTGCATAGTACCAGAGGAGCTGGTTCATCCCACAGGCAAAGGCAAACAATACCAGGGCGTACACGAAGAAGAACTTGAGAATATCGATAACCATCCTCCCGAGACATATCTGAAGAGGTCCAAGATGAGGATTCACAGAGAAGATGTATACCAGCTTCAACGAACTGTGGATGTTTCATTACAGAAATGACAACAACCATGACATTAATCTTTTCATTTATCAGGAAAATGTATAGATGATTAGGAAAATAAAACTTAAGAAAATCTTCTCTTTGAATGTTTAGAAAAAAGGAACTTTCATAATAATGCTAAATGATGACTGAGATAAATGAATATACTATTTATCTTTTCCGTTAACTGTCTATATAACGAGTTTAAATAGGAGTTACAGTGAATTTGATATAAACTGCCGTGACATTGGCAATTCTAAGTTCATGGAAACTATGTTTTGCTATGTTTGAAACTTGCCACGTTTTTTTTCTTTCTATCAGTTTACAATAATATATTTAAATGCCGAATTCTCAAGTGTTACTATACTGTTTGTACATCTTGCTAATTTACACTGATAACTATTGTTATTGAATCTTCTTTTCTTTCTTTCTTTTTATATATTTAATCGAAATCCATAAAACACGATTCCCTCAACACTACACTTAGCAGAACATGAACATCAGTGTGTTTCCATAAAACACGATTCCCTCAAAACTACATTTAGCAGAACATAAACATCAGTGTGTTTCCATAAAACACGATTCCCTCAACACTACACTTAGCAGAACATAAACTTCAGTGTGTTTTCATAACACACGATTCCCTCAACACTACACTTCGCAGAACATAAACATCAGTGTGTTTCCATAAAACACGATTCCCTCAACACTACACTTAGCAGAACATAAACATCAGTGTGTTTCCATAACACACGATTCCCTCAACACTACACTTAGCAGAACATAAACATCAGTGTGTTTTAAAAATTCCTTATCATTTACTCGCCTGAAGACATTCGCCGCTGCAAAAAGTCCTTCGGCAATCAAAATTGGATCCCAGGCGTCCCAACTTTCTCGAGGGAGGAAAGCTGTTCCGGTATTAAGTGAAATTTCTTTTTGTACCTGGAAAAAATGAAAAATAAAGTTAAGCTTTTCTTTCTTTATACATACAAGAAAATTAATATGTCCTAAAGGCGAAAGAACTAGGCCTAAGGTTATAAGAGTTTGAACTGGTACTGCAACCGAACTGGAAACATTTTTTGAATTTGACTTTTGATAACAAACACGGGAAAAGTTATGTTTTTAACGATAATTCATTCAATGCCGTAGTTATTCCAGTTGCGCTATATATACATAGATACAATGTTTCCGCTTCTTACATTAAGATATAGATATAATATCAGCATGCAAAATTTTAAGAGTTAGATTTTTTAATAGATAGTCAGTCCATATAGTATATTTTGACACCAAAAGAAGAATCACTTGACTATTTAACTGCATAAGCCTGTGAATAGAACGCCTTGCATTATCCAAACATATTGAAATTAATACGTGTTTTTACCTAAAACACGATAACTACCTTAGCCACCTTTCAAATGAAGACAATCTAGATAATTAATCCTAAAATACCAACAATCGATCGAACTATATTAAGAATTTGAACATTGGTTTCAATAATGGTATCGTTTATACCACTCGTAGGGTTTCCATATATTCAGCCTAAGGAAGAAGACAAACACAGTGAATGACATAAGCTGTGTCACTACATACTTAAAATGTAATGACATGTTTTTAATTATTCAAGTGTTTCTTAGTCAAATTTCCCAACCTGAAAATAAGCCACCACTCGAAGCGCCACGGTGGCTACATAGAGGGAGTTGGTGAAGAAGTCGATTATGTTCCACATATCACTAATATACTGAGTAAGTCCAGATTCCCACAGCTCCTTAATCTCACTCCATATTAAGCCTGAAAAAAACAACAAGAAGAGAGGGAATGCCCAGAAGATAATATAGGAAATTTGTAGCGTGGAAAGAGGACGTGTGGATATTCTCTAGTAGCTACTCACTACATATTACACGACCAGATATCAAGTGCAGAGCCGCACGGAAGAGAGTATATTAATTTTTTTCAAAATTACGTGTTTGTGTACGAATACCAGATACAATGATGCACAAAGTATGTGAGACATACCTGCTACCCAGGCTAAAACCATCCATTCAATGATTGTTGGAGAAGCTCCCCGTTTCGTTACCATGGCATTCTTCTGTTTCGGTTTTGTTCCAAGCCAACCAATCATCACGCTCTCTACTCGTTGTGACGCAAGGATCAGAAGAACTTCAAGAAATATTATACATATCATATAATTAACATAAGTACTCTATTAAATAGCGTAAAATTAATTCAGCTAGTTTGTTCTTACACATACAGCTAATATTCAAAACGAAATCCGTTTCTAAACTTTAAAATATTCTCAAGTTTAATCAAAGAAGCTGCTTTCAAAACAACTGAAGTTCTAAATGATTCTAAGTCCACCCACTATTAAAATATCCAGAGTCATACAAAAAACTGTATTAAATACGTGCAAGTCAATAATCATACAACAAATCTGTATTAAATACGTGCAAGTCAATAATCATACAACAAATATGTATTAAATACGTACAAGACAATAATCATACAACAAATCTGTATTAAATACGTGCAAGTCAATAATCATACAACAAATCTGTATTAAATACGTGCAAGTCAATAATCATACAACAAATCTGTATTAAATACGTGCAAGTCAATAATCATACAACAAATCTGTATTAAATACGTGCAAGTCAATAATCATACAACAAATCTGTATTAAATACGTGCAAGTCAATAAACATACAACAAATCTGTATTAAATACGTGCAAGTCAATAATCATACAACAAATCTGTATTAAATACGTAAACGTAAATAGTCGTACAATAAAATTGCATCAAATAGGTGAATGTCAATAGCCTTACTACAAGTCAAAAGTTTGTTTGATGCCTCATATGATTATCATATAACAGTCCAACTTACGTTAAGATCACAGTAAAAGTAAACAATTTTTGGAGACTCCTTATAAAAGAAAAATCTTCTCCTTATCTAATAAATTACCTGTTAAATTACAAAGTTAAAAAGCCAATTAGAGTCATATCGCTTATATAGTAGCTCCTTTGTTTTTAAACCAAATGCTTAGTTAAACAAGAATAAAAAACTCGTATTTAAAATCTACGACAAAGACAAACATATACACCCTTCATAAAGAAAAAAAATACGCTTTCACTAACAACCAAAACCACGAATTAACGCTTTCGCTTACAATCGAAACCATAAATTAATGCTTTAACTTACAAGCAATGAATTAACGCCTTCGCTTACAAGTAAAACCACGATATTTCGGGTAAAAGCTTCGTTTAAGTAACATAAGATAATAAATAAGAAAATACGTCCAAGCATACCAATTTTTTGCAACAATATGCTCGCTTTTTCTTTTTGTGCCAACTTTGAACAACTCTTATATTTTTTCTTATCGATACACCGAAAATATTATTTCCAAAGTTATCACATTTTATCTATAATTTGTTTACTCTTTTCTATAAGGTGTGTATATAACGTACTTACACGTTGCTTAAAACATCTGATGGAGCAAAGTGTAAATAATTACAAAGAATCAAAGAAAAGACAATAGAACTGAATGTAAGCTTGAAATAATTAGGATATTCAAGAATAAGTAGTTGGAAATAAAGACAGGGGAAGTTATCTGGACTTATTTTAATACTGTTCTTTACTAGGGTATGCCACCTCCCCACTTCTCCCTCAAGTGGATCAGCTATAAGTCTGAAGACTTATAATGCTAAAAGGGTTTCGATACCCGTAGTGGGCGCAACACAGCTACCTCATTGTGTTGCTTGGCACTTGACAAGAAACAATAAAAAAACAAAATTTACTGGAGTTCCCTCCTCCCCCATGGAAAAGTAAAGTAGTCTGTCATTTAGTAGTGGGTCCCCGGAGATTCGCCTGGTAATAGATTTTTATCAAATAGCTAATGAAATTCGATATAATAACGTACCAGTTTCAGAAGAAGGAAAGCAATAAACGTATGTTTTGATTACACCGAATTCGACATTTTAGACTTAAAATGTAAAATCCTCTCTAAGTAAGAGAATTATTCAAATATAATTATTTTTGCATCATCTTAGCTACATAAAGACATAAGCCATTAAAATTCCCTTTAACAACAAATTTTTTGTGACTATAAGGCAGAATTATTAACATATAAATATTTCACTGTAATAATTTATTTTTGAAATGTCAAATTTGAATGACTAAAATCTGTTCAGTAAAAAGAATATTAATAAAAGTTTTAGATGATAAAATTCAAAACTTTTTCTATAATCGAATGACAGTACATTTTTTTTTAGATATTTCTTTTAAACTTTGTAATCGTGTTTTTGCGTATCACAGCTCACCAAATGATTAGCGGAAGCCAAACAGAAACCATATTATTTTCTTTTAAAATTGATTTTAAAAGTTAAAATTACAACTTTCTAAACTCGAAATCGTTAAATTAACTCGCAACATGCGTACGTCTAGCGAGAACTTAGGAAACTATATACAATCACATATTCATTAATACAAGTCATCTGGTTTGATATGAAACTCATAAAAAAGGCGTTTCGTATCATTCACTTTGTTTCCCATTAAGCTGGTAAGTTGTTTGTTTTTGAATTTCGCGCAAAGCTACACGTAGGGCTATCTGCGCTAGC